CCCTCCCTGGCGGGGGATCGAACTCAGGCTGTCGCGCAGGCCTTTGCAGTAGTAGCGCTGGGCCACCAGGGAGGACCCCAAAAGTTCATCGCTAGGACAGAATGGAGTCACATTACCCCGCCGCTGAGCCGCTCCTGTTGGCCCGTGCGGATCCCTCCTGGGGTCACTTGCTGGGAGTGGTGGAGAGAAGCCCTGGGCGCTGCCCTGCGGGTCTGGGCTGGGCCGGGGTGTCCTGCTCCAGGAGTGTCCTCCCGCCTCGGCCCTGACTGCCCGTCAGGCGTGGGCGCCTGGCAGGGAGCGCTGGGCTTCGAGAGCCTCCTGGGAGGCGGTCAGTGGTCACCGTCACCTGCTGGTGGCCCGGTTTCCTCCCGGACCGTGGTCGCCGCCTGCAGTGAGGACGGGACTGCCTCCTCCCTGCGTACCCCGCTCCAGGGCAGAGCCCGCCCAGTGGGGCCCAGCCGGCACCAGCCCGTGGCTACTGCAGCCCGCCCCCTCCTGGGGCTCTCAGCAGGGGCCAAGCCCCGAGGCCCCAGAACTGGGGGACAGCGAGGACGGTCCCTTTGCTGTCCCGCTCCCCTGAGCCTGCTGTGCAGGGCGGGCTGAAGACCACACGGGGAGTTTGGGCGCCCCAGGGCAGCGGGGACCCTGCCCGCCTGTCTGGGGCCAGTCGCCTCGTGTGGCCCAGTGCTAGCGGCACTGTCTGAGCGCCCCGCATGGCGGAGCCCCGCAAACAGGTGGCCTCCTTCTGGGCCCTGGAGGCCTCCGGGAAGCCCCCAAGTAGCGGGGAGGGATGGGGCGCCCTCTGGGGAGCTTCCAGGCAGGTCCAGGGCCACACCCCCTCCTCGCTGCTCCTCAGGGGTCTGCCCCTCGCCCTCCTCCCCCTGCGGCCCCACGCTCCCCCCTCACGTGCCCCGCACAATGCGCCGGCTCCTGTGTTTAATCTGCTTGGATGAAGCCGCGCCGTGCTGGTCTGTGCTGGCATGCTGTTGTCACCCGGTGTGCACCGTGAGTGTGCGTGCACGCGTGTGCATGTGTGTGCGTGTGCAGGTGTGGGTGCGAGTGTGTGTGAGCGTGCGTGTGAGTGTGCACATGTGGGTTGCGTGAGTGCGAGCGTGCATGTGTTGCACGTGGGTGTGCACTATGCGTGTGCATGGTGTGAGTGCACACAAGGGTGTGAGTGCACACATGTGCGTGCGTGTGCGTGCGTAGGCATGGGTGTGCGTGGGTGCGAGTGTGCACGCGTGCGTGAGTGAGTGTGCGTGTGCACTGAGTGTGCGCGTGCACACGTGAGTGTGTGTGTTGTTGCGCGTGGGTGTGCACTGAGCGTGGGTGTGAGTGCACGCAAGGGTGGGTGCACACATGTGCGTGCGTGTGCATGTGCAGGCATAGGTGTGCGTGGGTGCGAGTGTGCACGCGTGCGTGTGTGAGTGTGCACTGTGAGTGTGCGCGTGCACGCGTGGTGTGTGCGTTGTTGCGCGTGGGTGTGCACTGAGCGTGGGTGTGGGTGCACGCAAGGGTGGGTGCACACATGTGCGTGTGTGTGCATGTGCAGGCATAGGTGTGCGTGGGTGCGAGTGTGCACGCGTGCGTGTGAGTGTGAGTGTGCACTGTGCGTGTGCGCGTGCACGCGTGGTGTGTGCATTGTTGCACGTGGGTGTGCACTGAGTGTGCTTGTGCGTGAGTGTGAGTGTGCGCTGTGAGTGTGCGCGTGCACGCGTGGTGTGTGCGTTGTTGCGCGTGGGTGTGCACTGAGCGTGGGTGTGGGTGCACGCAAGGGTGGGCGCACACGTGTGTGCATGCATGTGTGCAGCATGGGTGTGAGCCGAGTGCGTGCGCGTGAGTGCACTCATGTGAGCGTGCGCCTGAGTGTGCGTGCGCGAGCGGGTTGCTGGTGAGCGTGAGCTTGTGCACACCATGTGCTCGTGTGTCCGCGCGTGTGTGCGTGCTGGCGCCTTCGCTCTCACCGCCCCAGGCTCTCCTTGAGGCGGCCCAGCCCTCCCTGGGGGCCCCGGGGTGCTGCTGCTAACAGCCTGGGATCTGCGGGGGCTTCTGCAGGGCCTGACACCCCACGCTGGTGCCCGAGGCGCTGGCAGGCCGGGTCTGCGCGGGCGCAGCCAGGAGGTCAAGGGTCACTACGTGGTGGGGTGTCTGCCCCCCAAAGGTGCTTCTGAGTGCTGGGTGAGACCCAGCCACCCAGACCCGGCGGCAGCCAGCGCAGAGTGGGCCGGTCCGCAGCAAGCCCTGTGGGCCTTGGGCGCTGTCGCAGGGGGTCCCCAGCATGTCTGTGGGGTCCCCCGCATGTCTGCGGGCGGTCACACAGTAATGAGCTGCAGAGGTGCCAGGAGGGTGTCCAGTCCCCTTTAAATTTTATTGACTTTTTAAAGATTTATTTATGCACACAGAACTGGGGTACAGGCCAGAGGTGCGGAGGGTGAGAGGGTTCCCCAGAGACAGAGTGGGGAGTAGAACAGGCCGATTGACAAGTGTACTGCTGA